GTTGTGCTTTCAATCTGAATCCGGTGTATCAATCCCAATCCGACTCCTGATATCAGCCTATAGTCCGTCTATTCTGGGCCTGCAAGCAATGCGGCTATTACAAGGATCAATCACACTGCATCAACGATAAGCCAATTACCTCACATCTTCAACATTTGATTGTACAGTGTTTTGATAACGTTGGTGGCATGAAGGTACAATCGGTAAAGTTGGAAGTGGACGGCAAAACTGTTTTCTTAAAACGACGCGTTCTTCCATACGTTCAACGGGAAGGGGTCTTGAAAGCGTTACAGAAAGTGAAACAGAATGGTATGATAAGCAAAGTTGAATCCAGTGCCTGGGCGACTCCGATTATTATGGCGATGAAAATTGAAGGTAGAACACCACGGAACTGTGGATACTATCGACTGACGTTGAATCCCAGATTGCGGAGATGTGCAGTGACCACCATGGAACCAGAGGATTGTACGTAAACCAATTCGCACTTAAGTGACGCGTAGCCGAAACCGATACGAATCCCGAAATGAAACACGATTGACCCGTAATGTTTCACGGTACTGAATTATCAAAATTATTACAAAATGTACAATAAAGCAAACCTCAAATATGCGGCCAAAGGCACTCAAGCAAGCGAGCCAAACAGTCGCTCACGTTCTCTGACCACGCAAAATTCAAATTTGCCGGGCATCGAATTAGCAGATGAGGAATAATGTATGATGTTTGTGATTGAGAAATGTCAACAGAGAAGCAACACACAGATAGAGTTGGCACCACAAATCATCATGGATTTAGAAGGACTTTCAAACATTCAACATGAAATACACACGATGCCCATCTCACGCAGTTACCGGAAGGATTCGCCGCCAGAAACGTGGCCAGCATTCCGTTCAAATGTGTGCTTGGTGTAAGTGAGTTGGAGTTTCTAGGATTCACAGTTGATTCCCGTGGATACCGTCGCGATCCGACACGTTTCAAACCATTGGCTAACATCGAATCTCCAAAGGATCAAACGCATTTGAAATCCGTGATGGGATGCCTACAGTACTATTCCCGAGTTATATCGAACATTGCTACAAGCGCGCAGCCGCATTTCCGTGCTCAGCGTTCAGACGCTTGGGAATAGTCGGTGGAGTGTGAAGATATTTTACGTGGTTTAATTCGCTGCGTTACTGATCGTCCTGTTTTGGCCCCGTTTTCACCATCAAAACCTACTATACTCATCGCTGATGCGTCCGACGTCGGAATCGGTGCTGTATTAGAACAAGAAGGATTCCCAGTGATCTGCATTTCACGTCTACTCAATGCGGCAGAAAAGGGATACTCGCAGACTCAAAAATAAGCGTTGGCTGTATTTTGGGCTGTTCGATCATTGCACGAGTACCTTTTCGGATTGCGGTTTACCATCATCACTGATCACCAAGCGCTACAGCTCTTGTTCAACCCCAACAAATTCATCTCGAAGTCCACTGCTGCTATGTTACAGAGGTGGAGCATCGCTCTAGCCGCGTACAATTACGACATCCAACATCGCCCAGGAAAGACAATCCCACAG